CTTGCATTCTCGTGACAAGGATGATATAAATGAACAATGACTGCTTTACTCAAATACAATTGCCTTTTCCTTTTTTGATTTTGTCAAATATCTTATTGGCTGATTAGTTTTCTGTTCTTTTTGCAATCTCATGTGTGGGAGGGTTCCTATCTCTACTGTCAGACAATTAATGTCCCTGGTCCCTGGAGATTGACTGATACGATCAGTAGTTTCTCCAATTCTAGTTGTGCACCTGAGTTTTATAGAGATATCAAATGTTTATTCTTAGAAATTGTTTAAAATTCAGTGTGATGTGTGCCATGCTGCAGCCCATGTTTTCATCATTCAAAATTTGAATGTGATTATCTATTTTATTTTGCGATGCTGACTGATTATAATTACAAACTTTTGAACTGGGTAGATGAGAAGGGGAAATTTGATGAAATGGTTGAGGAGAAGGGAGTGAAGATACTGATTGACCCAAAGGCACTCATGCATGTTATTGGTACTAAGATGGATTTTGTTGATGATAAGCTGAGGTAATTCCCTTTTATGTACCATGTACCAAATGATCACAGTTAACACATTTACGTGGTGTCCAAAAACGCAAAATGAAAGGAAATTTGTTCAATTAAAGTGAAGAATGCTTTGTTCCTCTGTAGTCCATTTGTCTTTCTGCATCTGTTACTCTATAAAATGACATCTGTCTGATGAGGAATCATCAAAACCCAATACATTAGTACCAACAACACTATTTCCTAAACTATCAACTGTGATCACTATCTATTGCATCTTTCACATAGTGAGTTTCTGATACGAGTTTGCTTTTCGTTCCTTCTTTTTTCCTGGCTTCAATCTTCTACACAGATCAGAGTTTGTATTCATCAATCCCAATTCTAAAGGTCAATGCGGTTGTGGTGAGTCGTTCATGACTTCATCAAGTAGTGAATCCAAAAGGCAAGGCAACATCTAATGAAATACCGAAATCACGTTGATAGATTTATGTAAATTTCACAATTATTCCATGACTCCAGAGCACCTGATTGCAGATTAGTTAATCAGTGTTGTCTCTGGAGTGCCATATGTGGAATGTACTTGCTGATTGTACTAATCGGTTCTGGTGTTGTAAATTGTCAAGAAAAATGGATTCACTGCCCATATGAGTTAACTCAGCATCCTAGAGTTGTATTTTTATTATATTATTTTTTACACAAATTGATCAAAACTCAATATACAAATTATTCCATGTAATGGTTGTATAATTTATTTTCTTTATCAATAAAGTAAAATCACAATAAAACTTAGTTTGTAATTTATCCTTATTAGATTCATTTCAATTATCTCTTTTTTAAAATTATATTAACGAAGACAATTAGTAGCACCTCTACTGAAGCTCGAACTCACAACCTCCTATGTGGGGGTTCAACTTGGTACCATTGGACCATAAGATCTTTGGTCATTTTAATTATCTTTAATTATAAATTGTTCATATTATTTACATTTATAGATTTTTTTTCCAAGTATCTATAGACGGATAGTTACCAGTTAGATATTGTCATTATTTACTTTTTTTTTTTTTTGTAATTACCTATATAAAATTATTATCAAGATAATCAGATTTTTTTTTTATCACATTGAAAACCAAATAAGAAAGAAATATGTAGCAGTTTTAATCTTTAAAAAGCCTCGACAATATATATATATATATATATATATATATACACACACACACACAAATGTCTTCTATAAAAAAATTCGAATAATCATATCTATCTAGAATAATTAATGGCTCAAAAATAAGAAGAAAAACGTGGTAATAATTTCACAAATAATTACAAATTTTAGATTTGAGAGTGCATAAAATAATGTGATTGATATGAAAAAATTTGTTGGCTAGAGTAGAGCCGTCAAAACAGGAATTGTTCGCATGTCATAGGGTCGGTCGGTCTGCCTTGCCCTTACCTAAGTAGGGGGTAGGTTTAGGTTTTAGAGGCCCGCTCTGTTTGGCTCATGGGCCTATAGAAGCCTGACTTGACTATATTTAAAAAAAAATTATTTATATAGTAAGTGTTTTAATAGTAAAATATATTATTATGTATAATGGTTATTGAATATTGTGCTAGTTTGTTAGTAATAAGTATCTTGTTATTTGGAGGTATAGAGATAGAATAAGTATCTTATTGTTCTGGGAGGTCAAAGGCGGGTTGGCTTGCCCCCAACCGGGCTGTGGGCTTTGGCCCGGCCCAACTCATATTGATAGGTCTACATTTGAGTAAAAAGGTGAGGTTTATGCAATACACATTTGCAGATAATGACGGTGTGTTTTCTCAATCGTTATATCGTGCACCAAAATGATGTCGTTTTTATAAGTTGTGTAGGGAGTTGACGCGACGGACATCGTTCCATTCGTCCAATCCTGTTACAGTTTTTTTTTTTTTTTGTTTTTTAAACACTTGTCTTTATGTGTATTCTGTTAAGAGTTTCTGTGTATTACGTTAAGAGTTTATGTGTATTATGTATTATGTTAGATTATGTGTATTATGTTAGAAGTTTATGTGTATTTTATTATACAATTCTGTAAATCCGAAACATGATTTTTTTTTTTTAATTTTTAGAAGTTAACGGCAGAAACGGAAAACAACGTCGTTTTGGTCAGGGCGCACGATATAATTTGCCGTGTTTCCCTCGTCACAAAAAAAATTAATTGAAAAATGTAAAATTCTGAATAATGACGTGAAAATACGAATATAGAAATGGTAGGTAACAATACAAAGATATTATTTGTGAAAGAAATGGTATATAATGAGTTAATTCCAGCAATAGTCCTCCGACTATTGTGATTTTCCAAATTTAGTCCTCGTCTTTTAATTTGGACGAAATGAACCCTTGACTATCAGAATTGTTCCACCATTGGTCCTTCCGTTAACATAGAGTTATATAGACGTTAAGTTAAGGGGTAAAATGGTCATTTACTGGGTTTCTTCTTCTCCTAGCTTCCTGTACGATGAGTTTAACTCTATAGGCAAAGGCATCTTAGATGTGGTAGCGTCGATGAAGACTCATCAATATTTTTGTGTATTTCCGGTGGTCGAGGGAAGACTTGTAGGAGGTACTAGACGAGAGGGGGGGCTTTACGCAGCGTCCCCATCGGCGGCGGCTGCCGAAAAAACAAGAAAATGAAGTCTTCCTCCTCCTCTCATCGGCGTCCAGGCTTTCCGGTGACTCTCAGGTATCAGCGGCGGAGGGTTCAAGTTCTTTAACAATCTCTCCCCCACCATGGATTTTCAACTTGGAGGGATAAACTACCCTACCCTAAACAACCCTCCCACCACCGCCCTTTTCGACCACTATTCCAGCCAGCTCTTCCCCTGTTATCCCATCAAACTCTTATTTCAATCTTGACCCGCCGGGAACCTCCGCCGCAAGCTCCTTTCTGGGTTTCAATTTTTCTTTCCCTTCGATCCTAAAACGTCATCAAAGAGAAAACAGCTCGGCGGGATTTCAAGAAATGGGTAGTTCAAATGTTGTTCATCCTCAAGATAACAACAACAACAACCTGGCTTCTTCAATCGAGTCATTGAGTTCCATAAACCAAGAACTCCACTGGAAACTACAGTAACAAAGGCTGGCCATATTCTTTGGTGGAGAAAACCAGAAAGAGATAATAAGCATCGCTAATAACTCATCATCCATTCCAGTTAACGAGAGCTAGATGATTCAGAAACCACAGACTATCTTGTTCTAGAATCTGGAGATTTCTAAACCCGAAGCTTTTGATGGCAAAGACTGTGATGGTGGGAATGGGAGCTTAGCTACTGAATGGCTGTTTGACAACACTTATGCATAGGAAATATACAAAAACGGTGATGAGTCTTGATCGACGCTACCACCTCTAAGCTGCCTTTACCTATGGAGTAAACTCATCGTACAGGAAGCTAGGAGAAGAAGAAACCCAGGAAAGGACCATTTTGCCCCTTAACTTAACGTTGATTTAACTCTAGGTTAACGGAAGGACTAATGGTGGAACAATTCTGATAGTCAAGGGTTTATTTCGTCCAAATTAAAAGACGAGGACCAAATTTGGAAAATCACAATAGTCGGAGGACTATTGCTGGTATACAAAATAGATGTAAGGCAATAAAATGGCAATCGTTATGCTATGGACCCATGTCCAGCATGCATGCTAGACACGGGTAACAGTGCCGTTAGGCACTGTTATATCTTTTTTTTTTTTTTTTTTTTTTTTTTTTTTTTTTTTTTTTAATTTCAGACCACTTTGTTATAGGAGTATATGTTCATAATTTTATTACTATATGTTAATAACTGTACATTCATAACTCCATAACTGTACGTTCATAACTCTATAACTGTACATTCATAACTCCATAACTGTACATTCATAACTCCATAATTGTACATTCATAATTTTCGAAGCTCTATGTTCACAATTTTAGAGCTCTATGTTCATAATTTTATCACTATATGTTCATAATTGTAAGTTTATAATGTCAGAGCTCTTTATTCATAATTCGATCAATAACTGTACATTCATAATTCCATAACTGTAGATTCATAATCTCATAACTGTAGATTCATAACTCCATAACTATAGATTCATAACTCCATAACTATAGATTCATAACTCCATAACTGTACATTCATAACTCCATAACTGTACATTCATAATCTTCGAAGCTCTATATTCACAATTTTAAAGCTCCATGGTCATAATTTTATCACTGTATGTTCATAATTGTAAGTTCATAATGTTAGAGCTCTGTGTTCATAATTTCATAATTGCATAACTGTACATTCATAACGGCATAACTGTATATTCATAATCCAAAAAAAAATAACGCCGTTAACGACAAAGCACGCGCGATTTTTTTTTTTTTTAAAACTAAATAACGCGTTTTTTTTTTGAAAAACGACGTCGTTTTGGGCCGTGGGTCCAGGGCATAATTTGCCATAAAATGATTAGAAATAAAGAAATTGGTTTTGTTTGTTGGGCAATGCAATGGGTATTTTTGATTGGGTGAGGGTGACATGGATCTGACGTGCAAATGTAATTTGCACAGAGTGAAAGTGTGGTGTGTGTGTTTCTCGTCTCCAACCCTGCTTGCTTGATGCTTTGCCCATTGCCCATTTCATTTTCCACCGAAGCACACCAGATTCCACTTCCTTTACATCCACGGCCACGGAGCATTTGATTTCTCCCCTTTTTTTTTTTTTTTTTTTTTTTTTTTTTTGCACTTTCCGACACACCAGTCTAATCGATCCAATTGCAGCTATGAATGTTGATCAAAATCCCACGATTCTTGCGGTAAGGCATCCATATTCTGGATTTTGTCATGTATCTTTGTCTCTCTCTATTTGTGTTTGTTTTTATGGGTTTATCTTCCACCGTTTTCATTTGCTTATTGCTTCTTTATTTTTGGGGTTTTCAGGGTTTGCACGCTTGACAAACATTTGATCTTTATTTTGTTTCTTATCCTATACTACCGCCAAAAGGCTAAATCTTGAAACCGAACATTTTTGTGGGAATTGTAAAGCCTGGCTCTTTTGAGATCCTGCTCGATTTATTTATGGATTTCACTTTGGCGATTTGACACTCTGTTCTCCGGGGTTTCACATAGTTGTTTCAGATTGTAGTTTGTGAATTTACTTGGGTTTAGTAGACTGCAGTATTCTTTATGTTGAGCCTATTGGATTTATTGGTTATTTGAGAAGATATGGAGTACCTTCCTGTTGAGGTTATTGGAAATATATTATCTCGGCTTGGGGCTGCTCGAGATGTTGTGGTTGCTTCAGCTAGTTGTAGAAAGTGGAGAGAGGCTTGGAGGAATCATCTGCACACGCTCGCGTTTAACTCAAATGATTGGTCTGTGTATCATGAACTCACCAGGAGCAGACTTGAGATCATTATAACACAGACAATTTTCCAGACTAGTGGACTGGAGTGCCTTTCAATTATTATGGATAATGTTGATGAGTTCTCTGCTTCTCCGGTGATTGCTTGGCTAATGTATACAAGAGAAACATTGCGCCAGTTGCATTTCAATGTAAAGACAACACCAATCATTAATATACTTGAAAAATGTGGTCGCCAGAAGCTGGAAGTGTTGACACTGGCACACAATACGGTAACTGGTGTTGAGCCTAGTTATCAGAAATTTCCTTGTTTAAGGTCTCTTTCACTGAGCCATGTTGGCATATCAGCTTTGGATTTGAGTCTTTTGCTTACAATTTGCCCAAAAATTGAGGTCTTGAATCTTGTCAGCTTAGATATTGTGATGTCAGATCCACAGGCAACTATGGAATTGAGCAGTAACTCACTTAGTGATATCTATGTTGAAGCAATTAACTTGGATAAGATTACATTGGAGGCTGATAGCTTGGAGAAGTTGCATCTGAAAGATTGTACTCTGGAGGTTTTTGAGCTTGTAAGCAAGGGAGCATTGAGATTCCTGAAGATTGATGATGTTAGTGTCATTCATCTTGATATTGGGGAGAGCACTGAAAATCTTGACACTGTGGATGTTAGTAATTTCACAATCATGTGGTCCAAGTTCCATCATATGATTGCAAAGTCATCAAAACTGAGAAAGCTTCGGCTGTGGGGAGTAGTGTTTGATGATGAGGATGAGGTTGTAGATATAGAGACAATTTCTTCTTGCTTTCCCCAGTTAAGCCATCTATCCTTAAACTATGAGCTAAGAGATGCAGCACTTCAGTATGGCTTGCAAGGTTCTTTTCAGTTTGAAAATGTGGCTGTTTTGGAGCTTGGTTGGACAGTAATTAATGACCTCTTTTCTCACTGGGTAGCCGGACTCTTAGAAAGGTGCCCTAACCTCAGGAAGCTAGTTATTTATGGGGTCGTGTCAGAGACCAAAACCCATGAAGAATGCCATATACTAGCTAACTTCACATCCTTCATTGTAAGGCTTATGAGGAAGTATCTGCATGTTGAGGTTCAGTTCGAATATGAGTAGATATTTGCAACTGCATGCCACTCTCTGAGTTTGAAGTGAATTGAGTTGCACACAAGGAGTAAATGTATGATCTTCAGTGTTGGTTTTCATTCTTTAGATCTTCAAAACATTGTTGTGTCCACAGAAAATTTGGGTTTTTAAGTAATTGTAAATCATTTTTGTTCTTTGTGTACAAGTTCACATAATGTTTGCATTTCTTGATTTTCTTTTCATTCTCAATTAGTGATCTTATGTGCATTATACACCATTCTATTCTTCATTGGGTATAAAATTTTTCTTTAAGATCTCCTATTTTGTCTCTTTATCATCTCCTATTTTGTTTACTTTTCTTATCCTTTAAAGGTGCCTGTCCTTGTCTCTTTGAGAGAACTTATTTCACAGCATGTAAATCCAAGTTGTGTGAAGGCCTAGTTTCAGTTATGTTCAGTGTAAGCTACCTATAAGGCCGTATCATAACACAAGGAAATGGTCTTGTATCTGCTGACATAGACTAAAGAGGATAAAGTGCCTAAACCTATTTAATTGAAATGCAATAAGATGCAAAATTGTGCGGAGGCCACTTGGGGATGATTAAGAATTCCACTTATGGCTTATGTAGCTTTTTGGTGTTTGTGGATTGAATCAGAAAGAGCTACAGTGCATGAAAATATGGTGTTAATATCATCAAGCTCTTAAGATTATATGATTTGCTTCTAATATTTGTTCATTCAGTTAGTTGGATCGGTGAATTCTGAACCTGCATTTCACAAAACTTGCCAAATATCACCCAAGACTATTTCTTAACTTATCATGGCTAGGCTAGAACCTCCTTACACTGTCCCAACTGTACTTGGTAAGCCATTCTCTGATGCAACTAGATTCCTTCTGGATGCCTGGTTCGTGCGTTTCTCTTTGCCTGTTACAATTTATACTCATCTCTTTTAAGTAATGCAAATCCTTTCTGCATTCCTGTTTACTTCACTAACTTTGTAAATCTGGAGTTATTTTGCGTTTCACTCATTCATTTTGATTAAATATTGAATGTAAACATGGAGTAGAATATTCTGTTTTCCCCCTTCCAGGTTTCTTATTAAAGTGGATGAAATTGCTGAGATGCTGATGCCGGGACGTAGGATTCTGTCTTGGGATGTCGTGATCTTTGGATTGTATCTCCATTCTCCAGCTACAAGTTGCATACTATTAATATGAAGTGATCGGATTGGGATGTACTAATTTATTTAGTTTTGAGATGAAAGCAAGTTTCCAGAAGCATGGTTGAACTATGTATGAGGTATGAAAGATCAAATTCATTCTTGAATATAAATTAGGAAAATCTCTAGTGGTTTTATTTATTTATTTATTTTAGGTTGGGGGTTGTGGTGACCTAACTGAGAATGACAATAAAGATTTGTTTTCAGTATCCATTGAACTACTTTTAAATCCACATCACAAAATTTTGACCTGGTAGTTCCTTGAAAGATAATATGCTTAGAACAAGTCAAATCCATTTATATTTTCACACTGAGCAAGGTTTTTTCCCACTTTCTTTAATCTTATCTAATAATAAGATAATTCTCAACAACTATAATGGCGATTTGTCTTTACACTTTAGTTCATGACATAAGGTGATTTCTTTCATCGTGGACGACCAGAATACTGTTTCTGCTGATGAGTACTCACATAGAATATTGCATTTTCTATATGTAGTAGGCTTTATGCAATTGCAGACAGAGCTTATTTATAGGAGTTAATGCCAAGTTTAGTTCTCCAAGTTGATGGTTCTTCCAGATCTATAGTTCTCAACAAATAATTTCATCACATTTTAGGCTTGATTTAGTCCATCTTTTATATATGAGAGAGAACAATCGGGTTGAGGTTGGTGATTGTATAGGAGAGATGACATTCTGAATTTAGATATTTTCCCATAGAGTTTCAGCAGGGGACGGGTTGTTTGATGAAGGACTAATTTTGGTAAAACTATGAAAGTCAAAGCAAAATTATTAGTTGAGAACTAAATTTTAAAAACCTATCAAAGTCGAGGACCAAACTTAGTATTAACTCTTATTTCTAATTTCTAACTATGGATAAGCTTGCAGCCTAGCATGTTCGGGTATGCAACATTCAAGGAAGCATTCCACTTTTTTTTTTTTTTTTTTTTTTTTTTTTTTTTTGGGTACATCCGAAGGCTCACAGGAGTATTAAGTTACATGTTGTCTGGCGATCTTCAGGTTGTCGAGATGCAAAAGAACTTTAACATAGTCTGGGGGGGTCGGGAAGAATGGTTGTACCCCAATGGGTTAAAGACAGAAATAGGCAAAAAGTAAAGAAATTTGACAAAAATAGAAAGTTTTTGAAAATTGGACAAAAATAGACAAAATTCATTTGCCAAATGCGTGTCTATGTATGTATACACTACGATCTCCTTGACCGATGACCTGTCGCTGGTCAGGTCTCTCAGTATGGCAGGGAGAGAGACCCAAGTCCCCCCTTTGCCTTTTGAAAAAAAAAAAAAAACTCTGCCCAGGAGGATTATAGAAGCATATCCCCAAGCTTTGCAACCAAGGGGGATGGCTAAGGGGTACTGGAATAATAATTTCTTCGTCTTTATCATTGGGTATTAGTTGGGTGTCGACTACGTCGGGTGTGCCCAGCTTCTTCTCCCATTTGAATGGAACTCTTTCGGCTCTCCGACAGTAAATGCTGGACGACCGCCCTACACCTAACTCCTCCTGAAAAAGATTAATCCTCTGCCGGTTCAAGTAGTACAATTCCTCTCTTTCCAATGCTCTATTTTGGTAATCATCACTTCCGGGACCATTTTTGACATCCATTACATTATATATATTTTTCGATTCCTACTCGTTACCTGTAGACTCGCGGTGGTGGCCAGCATGTGTCTCCAATTCAGTGGGGCGACAACCACTTCATCCTTTGCTTGGTTTTGCAAACCAAAAACTCTTGGGCGGAGTGTTTTTTTTTTTTTTTTTTTTTTTTTTTTTTTTTTTTTTTTTTCAAAAGGCAAAGGAGAGACGCAAGTGAGGACTTGAATCTCTCCCTGCCGTACTGAGAGACGCAAGTCTCACTTGTGTCTCTCCTGACCGGAGACAATGCATTCCACTCTAACAGTGTTTTTGGATAGATGGAAACATTCAAAACACATCAAAACATTCGAAATGCATGTTCTGGGACTATTCTCAGAATTGAAAGTAATCAGAAACCCGTTTTCTAAAAGAAAATGCATTTTAGGAGTCTATTTGAAATGCGATTCATGATCTAATTTGTTTAAAAAAACCCATTCATAAAACTTTAAAAGGAAAATTTCACGTTTAGTCCCGTAACTTCTATTGCATTTTCAGGTTTAGATTGTGTTTGGTTAGAGACTTTTGTACCTTACAATGAAATTTGATACACATTATTATGTTCGATTGCCTACTTTTGCTATCCTAAGGCCAGCTCCAACGGATCGACAAATTGCACACCAACACCAAAATGGCGCCCATTTTGGCGCTGGATGTTCTCCAGTGAAGACGCCAAAGTAAGCGCCATTTTGGCGATGGTCTACAGTGCAGCGCCATATTTGGCGCAACACTGTAGCTTTACGCGAAAATGGTGTAAAGCTTTTTTAATTCTATTTTGGCCCTAGTCTTTTTTATTAATTCCTTTTGTATCCCTATTTTGTTTTTATGGATTTACATATTTTGTTAAATACATAAACATAAAATTTGAATAATTAAAAAAATAAATTATATCATTTGAAAGATCGCATCAAGACGATTAAAACAAGCCTAATATTATATATATATTAATTAAAAATTAGAGTACATAAAACATAATTTTCATAAAATTAAATTGAATACATCCGAAATTAAACAAAGCATACTTAGGCCATCTAATAATCTCCAAGACCACCCCCATTTCCTCCCAAATTATCAAAATATTGAGTAAATTTACTACTTGATTCAACACTTGTTTGCTCATTAGCTCTCTTGGCAACAATTTGTAGTTGTTCATTCCTTATAGACGCCCGCACCATTGGGTCTGTGATAGAATCTAAATTTATGCGTAAGATTTTGTTCTCTTCTCGACACTCTCTCTTCTCTTCTCGACGCTCTTTATTCGCTTCTTGTCGTTCTGCCAACTCTACTTTCTTTGCTTCAGTTTGAGCTTTTAACAACTGAACCTCAATATTTTTTTGAAGTATATCTTGATGATTTTCGAACATTTTTTTGATCTGTTCATTTTCTACTTGGATGGATTTTAAAAATTCCTTACTTTCTTTATTGAGTTGTTTCTTCTTTTTCTCCTTGTTCCTTCCAGTAGGACGTTCGCTTGCATTGTTGTTTTCATTAACTTGGTCTGCACTTTCGAAGTCGTCATTTAAATCAACACAAAAAGATGATGAGCTTTTGACTTATCTTCTCTATCATGTAGTGATTGTGATCCTTGAAAGTCGGTACTACGCTTTCGACTACCAGGACTTTGGTCTCTATTAGGAGTAGCACTAAATTTCTCGAGGTCCTTAAGGATTGGCCATATGTGATCAAATCTAAACCCCTTTTGAAATTTGGCATCTTGTGACATTAAATCTTTTGCTCTATCTAGCTGTTATAAATCATAAATATAAGCAAGTAAATAATAAATATGTACACAGTACTCACAATTTAAGCAAATGACTAATAAAACATGTATACAGTACTCACAATGTCTTCTTCAGACGCTCCACTTGGGTTCATGTTTTCAATTTGGCGGATGCATCCTCTTAATTTTGAAACAGCTGCCATTATATTTTGCATCCGAGTTTGAAGAGATCTTCAAGATCGATTGTTGACAGAATTTGCTGGTAACATTTGATGGCACTCAGTCATAATACGAGACCAAAAAACTTGTTATGCTTGATTCTTACCAACTTTAGGATCTTGGCTAATATCACAATACACACGACTTAGAAGTTGATCTTCCTCGATTGAGTATGATGCAATTCGGATTGTGCGTGAGCTCGACATTTTGCAAAGAGAATGGAGAGGTGTTGCAAAATCAAAGAGGGGGTTTGAGAATCCAAAGATGGGTGGTTTTACTTTGGCAATCCAAGTGTGGTATTTATAGATGAAAACAATCCTGATATCTTATTGTGATAAGATTTCATATATTTCATTGGATTGTGTGTTTGTCAAGATTTGCATACCAATGAATGGTTAAGATTGTTGATATTTAATCTGACGGTTGAAAATAATCCTGATATCTTATTGTGATAAGATTTCATATCTTTCATTGGATTGTGTGTTTGTCAAGATTTGCATACCAATGAATGATTAAGATTGTTGATATTTAATCTAACGGTTAAAAACAATCATGATATCTTATTGTGATAAGATTTCATATCTTATTATAAATACTAGTGCATCACATACAAAGTTATCATTCATCTCTTCATCATATCAATATTCAATTATGAATTCCAACAATGGTAAACGCCCTATGCCATTTTCTTCTTCATCCTCATCTTCATCCTCACCCTCACCCTCACCCTTATCCCAACAATCAGAGGATGATCTTGATCTCAATACTCTAATACAATCACAAGAGCAAGCATTACTAAATGTATATGCTAACAACAATGCTACCATGGCTTACTATATAGAAACTATGGAAAATTAAGCTAGCAACTCAAGGCACGGTGGTTCGGTTCATAGCCGTAGAGTTATTCATCGTGATCGTGTAGATGGTGATCGAAGGTTATGGGCTGATTATTTTTCAGAAAATCCAAAATATAATGAAACAATGTTTCGTAGACGATTTCGAATGAGTCAAAATTTGTTTTTACGAATTGCCAATGCCGTTGAAGATCATGACAACTACTTTGTGCAACGGAGAGATAGAATTGGAAGGGCAGGCTTGTCTACTTTACAAAAACTAACAACAGCCTTTCGAATTTTGGCTTATGGAGTACCCGCGGATGCAACAGATGAATACATACAAATTGGAGAATCAATTGCAATTGAAAGTTTGAAGAGATTTTACCGAGCAATTGTAGAGGTCTTCGGGGAGCGCTATCTAAGAGCACCTGATGCTAATGATGTGGCAAGGTTGCTTCAAATTGGCGAGAGTCGTGGTTTTCCAATGATGCTTGGGAGTTTAGATTGTATGCACTAGACTTGGAAAAATTGTCCAACAGCTTGGGCAGGTCAATATTCTAGGCGTAGTCGAGAACCAACTATTGTTCTTGAGGCTGTAGCTGATTATGATTTATGGATATGACATGCACATTTTGGTTTTCCAGGGTCGAATAATGACATTAATATGTTGGAGGCATCTCATTTGTTTGCAAACCTTGCAAATGGTATATCACCTCCATCTCATTATGTTATTCAAGAAAAAGAGTACCATACGGGATATTATTTAGCTGATGGTATATACCCGAAATGGTCAACCTTGTACAAACTATTCATGAACCTCGAGGGCTAAAGAAAAAGTTATTTGCAACGATGCAAGAAGAAAAGATGTCGAACGTGCATTTGGGGTCCTCCAGCCACAATTTGCAATAGTCAAGGGACCAGCACATTTTTGGGATAAACGTGTTGTTGGTTTTAGGATTTTTGGGCCCAGGGAGGTCCAACACAACCTTGGTTGGTGGATACACCTTTCAATAAAGCTACTAAAAATAGAATGCAATGAGCAGTTGTAGTGAACGTGTTTTCTTATTCTCTCGCCTGGACTCGCCTGGTTTACAAGGATGAAGGAGCCTTTATATAGAAGGCCCCCCTTCCGCCGAGTTAATGTACATTAAAGGCTGCTCTTCAAGGCTAATTACACTCTAGGTCCGTTGGGTGCCGTTACCGGGCCGGCCAACGGCTCCTTGGGCTTCCCTAACGCTTCGCTTGGTCGAGCCCCTTGAATGCTGTGATGAATGCTTCTCAACGGCTCTAAGCCGAGTCTTCTTTTCAACCTGGGCCTGGGCCGACTCCTGGACTCGGCCCAGGCCTCTGCCAGGCTTTACTACTGACCCATATTCTCACTTTCTGGGCCACTACCTACCCGTTCTAGACTCTTCTCCATTCTGGGCCTCTTCTCTGGGGCCCACCTTCTTGGGCCGGGGTCCTCATCCCATCAACTAGTCCCTCACTTTCTCATGCCCGGTCCTCTAACTCGGGTGTGGGAAAGTAGTAACTTTTCTTCCTCTTAATCAGCAAATCTTCTCTCTTAATTGCCCAAATAACGTCCTGATTCTCCGCTATCTTACCTGATTCGCCGGAGACGTTTGGATTCTTCCTCCTTCCTGGGGAATCCTATAAATAGCCACTTGGTTTCTTCACCTTTTCATCATCTCATCGGTCAGTCATGGGTCGCTCACCTCTGAAGGGAAAGCGGATAGACTTCGGGTCGCCTCGACGCCCTCTAACTTCTAAGCGTAAAGACCCGAGAGGGAGGGCAAGAAGAAGGCTCCTCGGCCTACCTCCCGGAGACCTTCCACGGGTGCTACTTCCTCTATTCCGCAGCCGCCAACTCCTGTTTCTTCCCTCACGGCGAACGCCCCAGCCTCGGCCGACTTGCTGCCTCCGACTACGGCCAAGGTTACTGCGCAGGACGGGTCTTTTGTTGAAGTGGCCGTCCCGGAGCAATTAGCCTTCCGTATGACTTTCACCATTCCACTTGACGATCTAGATGGGCCGGCTACGGACCTGATGACTGATGCTGATTTTGCTCGATACTTGGAGCTGTATCCGGATGATGAGGAGCCCGTGGTGCCGCCGATCATGCCAGCTTTTTGTGACTCCTTCTGCCCGTCTCCCACTGGACCATCAGGGGAGATGTTTTTTAGGAGTGACTCTTCCTCCCCGGACGAGTGATCACCTCAACTGGAATCCGCCTTCGCATTTCCGAGAGGGCCACAAAAGGAGCACCTTATATATTTTCACTATGATGTAATAAGCTCCTTTCTCTATGTACCACCCTTCTCCGGTTAATAAACTTGGCTTTTATTATTTTCTCTTCGGAGACTTTTTAATTCTCCGCTCGCCTTGACCTCCCGGTCGACTGGTCGCCGAGTCGTCCGTCTGACAAATCTTAAAATCTGACATCTGTGATATTCCCCGTATCTCTGGAAAATCTTGCATTTTCAGTTAAAGTGCGAATCTTACTCTTCTCAAGCGAATTTGATGGAACCATTCCCTAACAGAGATTCCTACCTCCCTTCTAATCCGGCCTCGTAATGTCAGTTATGATTCCCTTCGTAATTTCTGCCTGGATATTCGCCCTTCCGGGGCTATATAAGGGTCTCCTATGCTTGTGATTCATATCTCTTCCCATTTCAGAAATCTCCGGTCATGAGCTACAGGGTCGGTGATTGTCGCTTTTCCATCCGTAACAAGGAACATGCTCGCCTGGAAGAATTAAGGTAGAAGAGGCTGGCCAACGGCGGTCACCTGGTGGGTGACTCGACCTCAGACCCCATCGTGGTGCCTCCAGACATGCTAGACCTGGTCCCCGTAGAGTCGGTCGAATGTCGAGTGGAACCCGTGGCGGATGACTCTGGGCCAGAAGAGGAGGAGGCGTGGGAAGTTCCTCCCCTTTTCGGGGTGGCTATGTCTCCCAGCGCCCTTGAGAGGCCTCTTCAGATGATCGATGACAGGAAGCCGGCTGTCTATCTGGACGATGTGCAGGAGCCGGAGCCGATTCCTCCACCCTTCCGTCCTCAGCTTTTCCTGGAAGGTCCGCCTCCTGTTCGCCCCGCGGAGGAGAAGACCAAGCCGTGATTTGTCCTTTTCTTTGTACTTTCTTGGCCGGGAAGTTGGCCTTTGTTGCTTTCTAATCAATAAACTGTTGTTTTGTCGCTTTTCTGTGTGTATTGTTTATTATTCTTCGCATACCGTTAACCGACTCCTCGCTCTTTCATCTTATCTCTCCTTTCGTGAGGTCGACGCGGTCCTTTCTGTCCGACTTGTGGACCCGACCTTTCTTCGTCGAGAGCTATTCATGCTGACTGATGGGCTTGGCCTGTCGATCCCCTTGGGATACCTCCGGCCCTTACTCGGATAGCCCAGAGGCCATGGCCTGTAATGGGCCTCACGCTAACAGGTCGGGTCATCTCTACCCGTCTTTGGCCTAGGGTAGACGCGCCGTCACAGGCTAACCCTAGACCTGAATCGTCACTCCGCTTTTCGAGGCCATTAATTGCAAGCGTCCCTTCACATTTTGTCAACCCTTACTCTCCCCCAATAGATGCGCGACACGTGGCTGTTCCTTGGGATTCTTCCTAATTTAAATACCTCGTTCTTCCTCCTCTTCTCACTTACCTTCTCCATACTTCTTTCAAAAGAGCTCTCGAGACCTCATCAATCTCCTCCTGCGCCTTCTTTCCACCGGGCTTCCAGGTTGGTATCATGTCATCTTCCCCTTCTTCTTCTCCTTCTCATCGCTCGGCGGGGTCTCCCGCCTCGACTTCCTCGACCTCTTCTTCTTCTTCTTCTTCTTCTTCTTCTTCTTCTAGCCCTCCCCGTCGCATGGAGATTCCGTCTGGTTTCCCATCGGCGTCATCTTCTCAACCGACCCCCTCTTCTTCGGGGGCGGTTACTCCTTTGAGCCCAGCCCCTCTCACGACGGTGGCGGCTCTTCCTGACGGTGCCGGACGGCCGAGGGGCAAATTTGACTCCATCGTCCGGCCGTCGGGGCTTCCATCGCAAGTTTCTGCGGTGGACCTTGATATGGCCCGTTTTCTTTTAGGGCCTTCGGCCACTGTTTATCCTCCGGAAAACCGGCCAATATATGACCCGCCGGAGGGTCGCGTGGGCATCCACCTGCACTCGGTGGCCTTTGGCTTCTGAGTGCCTCCTTCTCCATTTCTCTCTCTTCTTTATCGTCACTACAACCTGGTTCCGGGTCAATTGGTACCCAACTCGCACCACCTCCTTGCTTGTTTTATCAATTTGTGTCACTGGTGGCTCTGCGAGCCGGACTTAGACCTTTTTCGGTATTTATTCACCGTGAACAAGGTTGGCTCGCACTCCCCGGGCTTCGTTCAGGTCGCCGCCCGTCCTAGGCGTTAATTGTTTGAGGGTCTTCCAGATTCCATAAAGGACTGAAAGCCCTTTTTCTTCTTTGTCCGTCCTTCCTTCACTCCCTTTACCTTTCCCACTCTGTGGCCGGCTGCTCTTTTCAAACCACGCTCCCAGCGCGCCGTCTTCACTCAGGACGCGATCCAGGGTGCCGAGTTCTTGAAGAGCTGGGGACCTTACTCCGTCAAGTACTGGTCTTGAGTCTGGGCTATGGCGAAATGGGGCTTTCTGCCAGCCGGCGCGGCCACCATAGGTAGTCCTTCCGTGATCTCTCTTTTCCTTATCCTCTCTGTATGATCCGACTGCTAATACTTTTCTCCTTTTCCGCAGGTCCCTACGACTCCGACTCCACCAGCTCGGACGAAGCCGAGGCCCCTACACCGGAGATGGCTGATCGTGCAGAAAAGATGAGGCGTCGGTTGTCTCAACGCACGTCAGGTGCCGCCGCGGCTTTTTCATCTCTCCCCTCTCCAGCTCCGAGGTCGACTCCACCACCGCTGAGGAATGTGGTGGACTTGACGCCGTCCCTGGCTGCCTCTCCTTCCAGGCAACCGCCTCTGCCCCCATCTGAGAGCCCGAGCTCCAAACGCCCTTTGGAGCAGTCGGATGTGCCGGCCCCAAAGAAGATCCGGCTAGGCCTGGAGCTCGATGAGAATGCCCAGATCTGTCAGGGCAACTACTCGATCCAGAACTGGGCCGAACATGTCTTCCTGCCTAAGGACCTGGAGGCGGCCAGTCAGATGCAGGACGAGTACATTCTGGAGGCTTCCCATCTCTCTTACTTCCTCTTTTTTTTCTTGTTTCCGACTAACCTTCCTCCTTTTTTTTTTTTTTTTTTGCAGAACGTCACCTTCCAATTGGAGCTGAGGAAACGGCTGAGGGGGCTCAAGATCACGATGCATTCCCTCGCCGCTCGCCTGCGTCAGACGGAAGAAGCTCGCCTGGAGGAGCAGGCCGTCCATGCCAAGACTCTGGAGGTGCACACCGCCGAGTTGCTGAGGGTAACCCGCCAATGGGAGGAAGAGCGGGATAATGTGGCGACCATCGCCACTTCTTCGGCGGAGGACTACAAGAAGTCGGTGGCCTTCGAGGCGGACGTGAAAGCGGCGGTGGTGGCTCGACGGGAGGAGATTGCCAAGGAGTGGCTAGCGACTCCTGAGGGAGACGACTATCTCCTGGATTTGGGCGAGCGTGATTATCGCCTAGGCTTCCGCGAGGCTCAAACGGAGATCTATGCCGCCTTGCAGGCCCGCGACCCGACCTTCACCCCGAGAGCTGGGGCCTTAAACCGGTGCTTGGTCCTTTGCCGGGGGCTGACGCGCCCGTGGCGACCGCGGATCCAGCGGCTCCTCCTGTAGCGAACCTAGCCGAGTCTACTGAAACGCCTCCCTTGACAGAAGACCCTTCACTTGC